TTTTTTCTATTTTATCATTTTAAATTATAATTTTTATTATAAATATTTTGACAAAGCAGTGGGTGTATAAGTCAACCTGAATATTCACTTTAAAATAACCATCTTCCTCCTCTTTATCCCAATCCTCAGAAAGAACCATGTTGGCAATTGATGGGGATTCTTCAGATATTCATTAGCTATACATATGCAGTAAAAGCTTTGAGAACTCCACTCTGAACTCTACTCTGCTTGACCTAGAGTAAGTGATTATTTTTTCTGTATATTCCGTTTGTCAAATATACTGATTGGTGTCCGTGAAATACACGATTGCTCACTTTCAAAACGAACTTTTAGAAGCATATTATTATTTCTCTTTTAAGAACAGCTTTTGTGTTTTCCATGATTGGTTTTTGGTCTTCTATTCATCTAGCTAGGATCATTACTGAAGTTATAGTCAATAACTTTTATGTATATATATTTAAATAATTTTGTGTTTAATTTTGTTTGTTTAATATGATTTCTACTAATAGAGTATTATTAGGCTTTTCTTTTGACATAAAATGACCTTCAGTTTGGACCACGAATGATAATGATTCTTTAGCCCCAAATTCTGAAAAAAGCACTCCAATACTTTTACCTCAGAGATTTGTCTATCTTTGTATTTTAGATTCAGTGTATTGTTAAACATTAGTTATAGTTGTGAAGTCAAATTTTTCCATTTTTAAATTGAATTAGCTATCTAATTATTGTAATAACGTATTCTAAAACAACTTCCCCACAAATTGATAATTTATATATATCAAAATATGTATGTGTGTAAGTTTTGTTTTATAAACTTCTTTTCTGTGCCATTTACTTAATTTTCTTTTTTTTTTTTTTTTTTTTTTTGAGACGGAGTTTTTGCTCTTGTTACCCAGGCTGGAGTGCAATGGCGCGATATCGGCTCACCGCAACCTCCGCCTCCTGGGTTCAGGCAATTCTCCTGCCTCAGCCTCCTGAGTAGCTGGGATTACAGGCACGTGCCACCATGCCCAGCTAATTTTTTTGTATTTTTAGTAGAGACGGGGTTTCACCATGTTGACCAGGTTGGTCTCGATCTCTCGACCTTGTGATCCACCCGCCTCGGCCTCCCAAAGTGCTGGGATTACAGGCTTGAGCCACCGCGCCCGGCCAATTTTCTATTTTGTTTTATTTTGGTAAACAATTTTTTCATCTGTGTTTAATTTTTACCTATTAAAACTACTTTTCATAAATATAAAGAAAATTTAGAAAATTACTATTTTGATTACATGTTTGTAAATAAGTTACTTTATTGGAAATCAAAATTACATTAGAGTTTGATCTTGGGGTACAATTCTATGCTATCACTTATTTCTAATCTTAATATTTTAATAGTATTTTATTATGCTTCAATATTCCTTTAAAACTACCTAATTTTAGTGTTCCCCAAAATTTAATTATCTTTCATTAATTTATTTTACTTTATTGTTTGTAGATAATATTTCCAATAGACAGCAAATCTTTTGCCTTCTTTTCTTTCCTTTTTTGAGACAGAGTCTCACTCTGTCATCCAGGCTGAAGTGCAGTGGCGCAATCTTGGCTCGTTGCAACCTCTGCCTCCTGGGCTCAAGAGATTCTTCTGCCTCAGCCTCTTGAGTAGCCTGGGATTACAGGTGCCCATCGCTGCACCTGGCTAATTTTTCTACTTTTATTAGAGACAGGGTTTCAACATGTTGGCCAGGCTGGTCTTGAGCTCCTGACCTCAGGTCATCTGCCCACTTTATTTTTCCAAAGTGCTGGGATTACAAGTGTGAGCCACCACACCCAGCCTACAAATTAATTATTAATATATAAATAAATAACTTTTTTTTTTTTTTTTTTTTGAGACGGAGTTTCGCTCTCGTTACCCAGGCTGGAGTGCAATGGCGCGATCTCGGCTCACCGCAACCTCCGCCTCCTGGGTTCAGGCAATTCTCCTGCCTCAGCCTCCTGAGTAGCTGGGATTACAGGCACGCACCACCATGCCCAGCTAATTTTTTGTATTTTAGTAGAGACGGGGTTTCACCATGTTGACCTGGATGGTCTCGATCTCTTGACCTCGTGATCCACCCGCCTCGGCCTCCCAAAGTGCTGGGATTACAGGCTTGAGCCACCGCGCCCGGCTAACATTTATTTTTATAACATATATGTTGAGTTTCAAATCTTTGGAGTTACAGTTTCTTTGATTGGTGGGAATATTGTGCAATAGAATCCCCTGCCTCCTGAATTATGTTTTCCCTGATAGTAAGCCCAGAGTTTCTAGAACATCGTAGATTTTTTTTATTTGACTAAGAGTTTTTGGGTTGAGTGTACCTGCAATCAGCATTTATTTTCAGAATCCTTTGTTTTTTTTTGCATGAAAACTTGCGTTTAGAAAAGAGAAAAGAAAACAAAAGAAAAATGGCATTTAGATAAGATTTAGATAAGAATCTGGGTGCTCAATGGTCATAGTCACTGCTATGGAGTTATCTGATGAGGTCTAGATTTTTTAATGTAAAATCATACAAAATATATGTTTTAAATAAAGTATAGTTATACATCACTTAATCAGAGGAATACATTCTTTTTTTTTTTTTTTTTTTTTGAGACGGAGTTTCGCTCTTGTTACCCAGGCTGGAGTGCAATGGCGCGATCTCGGCTCACCGCAACCTCCGCCTCCTGGTTCAGGCAATTCTCCTGCCTCAGCCTCCTGAGTAGCTGGGATTACAGGCACACGCCACCATGCCCAGCTAGTTTTTTGTATTTTTAGTAGAAACGGGGTTTCACCATGTTGACCACGTTGGTCTCGATCTCTCGACCTTGTGATCCACCCGCCTCGGCCTCCCAAAGTGCTGGGATTACAGGCATGAGCCACCGCGCCCAGCCCAGAGGAATACATTCTAAGAAATATTAGGTGATTTTATCATTGTCAGATGCAAGCCTAGATAGGAATTGCCTACTGCCTACCTAGGATATATGGTATGGCCTACTCCTCCAACCACTGTGTTATATGTGGTTCGTCACTGATATGAATGAGATTATATGGCGCATAACTGTATAACATAAATTAATATTGATTCTCTTCAAAAGTATATGCTTTAGAGTTTAAATTCATTGAGTAAGTGTTTGTACTGACTTTGCTCTATGCCAAAATACTTGTTTACCAATTATATTGTAGGCTTATTTATTTGTTCCCATGCATCAACACCAATCATGTATATGAAAACATAATGATGGACAATGATTTATCATGCCTTATTTTTGCCTTACATATCCCTGAGCATTTTAACTGACCATGTTATTAACAATAATTTTAGAATTCCTGAGCATTTTAACTATTTTATTAACAATAATTTTAGACTCACAAGCAGTTTAAGAAATAACTCAGAGAGAGCCTTTACACATGGCCCAGTTTCCCCCGTGGTTACATTTGGCAATTGCAGTATAATATCACAATGATGATACTGCTTTTGATATATTCACTATCATTTTAATATTTTCTTAATTTTATTTATACCCATTTGTGTGTGTGTGTGTGTGTGTGTGTGTATGTGTGTTTATGAGTGCATATACCCCCTAAGTTTCAACCCACTTGAAGACTGTTTTCCACATAGACACAAAACTAGGACCACATTTTATTTTGATTTTGATTTTGTTGATTTTAAATTTTTATTCTGATTCAATATTAGTAATTATGTAAAATATTACATTTGCAAAAACTGAAGATACAGAAAAAAAGGTTTCATAAAGGCCTAACTCCCATTTCTGTCTCTCCAACATATCACTTTTGTCCCTATATGTGTGTGTCTCTACTAGCTTCAAGTACTTTAACATACTTTAGACAATGTTCTGACCCATGCATTCTTCACTTAAGAATATGTCCCCGAAAAAATATCATACATTCACTTTTGGTATAATGCAACCTGTACTGTTCACAGAAATTGTTGAGCTATACAAAATCAACAGTGAAAAACAGAAATTAATGGGACACAAAAATATCGTCAGTAAAAACAAGACAGAAGGCTAATAAATATGGTAGTGCACTTTACACATGTAAATGGTTAATGAAGACATAAATACTATAATAAATATGGCAATTTTCTTTAAAAGTCTTGAAGTTTTTCATAGAAGTAGATGTCAGAAGGGTTACAGCTTTTGGTTGCTATAGAGTAGTAAAAGAAGAGGTATTTAAAATAAGACAGAAACTTGTATAACCAGGTGTATATGGGTGCAGCTCATAATATGTGGTGAACTTAGTTATATGTTTGCTTTGTGTGTTTTGTGTATTCTTCCAGCTTAGTTCAATAGGTGCAGTTTTCGGCATTAATCTAGTTTTTCTTTTTTTTTTTTTTTTTTTTTTTTTTTGAGACGGAGTTTCGCTCTTGTTGCCCAGGCTGGAGTGCAATGGCATGATCTCGGCTCACCGCAACCTCCGCCTCCTGGGTTCAGGCAATTCTCCTGCCTCAGCCTCCTGAGTAGCTGGGATTACAGGCACACGCCACCATGCTCAGCTAATTTTTAGTATTTTTAGTAGAGACGGGGTTTCACCATGTTGACCAGGATGGTCTCGATCTCTTGACCTCGTGATCCACCCACCTCGGCCTCCCAATGTGCTGGGATTACAGGCTTGAGCCACCGCGCCCGGCCTAGTTTTTCTTATTAAAAAAGAAATTCATGTCCAAACATAAAAGTATTTATGCTCCATGTGCTCTTTAATATGTCAGTTGTATTGGAACAAATTCATATCTTCAAAACTAGCATGATTCCAGAAATTATTGTATCTATTCACAGAGATTCATTCGTTCATCTCTGCAGTGGTGCACAGCTCCTGTGCAGTGTGCTCGCATTCATTCACCTGCTTTCCTGCAGATGAATACACAAGTTTTTTTCCCAGTGCTGGTTGCTATGAATTGCTTTTGGGCAAATAAGCAAAAAACGTAATCTCCTGTTTAAAGTGAGAAAATAAGTTTAGGATAAACCCTGAAAACTATCTCTAGTGACAGCAAGACACTCTTTCTCATTTTCCTAATTCTGATTCCTCTGACTTCAATGAAAATCAGCATCCCTAGATATTGATGGAATGGCTTCTGGAAAATTAGAAACAGGGATCATTTTCCTTATTCAGACTGGAGTTGGGATACTGGGAAATTCCTTTCTCCTTTGTTTTTATAATTTCATGTGGCTCGCTGGAAACAGGTTGAGACTTACGGACCTGATTCTCAACCAACTGGCCTTAGCCAGCTTCTTGGTCCTTTTCTCTAAAGGAAAACCTCAGACAATGGCAGCTTTTGGATTTAAATATTTCCTTGATAATACTTGATGTAAGCGTATCTTTTTTAATCACAGAGTGGGCACAGGAGTTTCCTTCAGCACCATCTGCCTCCTCAATGGATTCCAAGTGATTAAGCTTGACCGCAGTATATGCAGGTGGCTGGAGCTCAAAATTCGATCCCAAAAGTTCATTGGCTTCTGTTGTTTCCTCTGCTGGGCCTTGCATCTCTTGATAAATACAAGTGTTCTTTTTCTTGTAAATGGTCTGTTGGATAGCAAAAACCTTAGTGTGAAAAACAGTTATGAAGTCTGTTCCTGGGCAATGCCAGAAAGAGTTGGCACTTTATATACAATTATATATACAACCTCCGCCTCCTGGGTTCAGGCAATTCTCCTGCCTCAGCCTCCTGAATAGCTGGGATTACAGGCACGTGCCACCATGCCCAGCTAATTTTTTGTGTGTTTTGAGTAGAGACGGGGTTTCACCATGTTGACCAGGATGGTCTCGATCTCTTGACCTTGTGTTCCACCCGCCTCGGCCTCCCAAAGTGCTGGGATTACAGGCTTGAGCCACCGCGCCCGGCCTCCATGTAGATCTTACAGTAGGACTAAAAGTGAATATTGTGGATACTGTTATACAAAGAACACTCAGTCTAACTGCTACATTCTTTGGGGAAAAGTTCAGAAATTATCAAAATAGGTTAATGGAATAATTTTTTGTTTAGGGATTTAGTAGGAAGTTTATTTTATGCTATGAAGAATCATAGTCGATTAAAAAATATTTTTGAAGTATAGTTTGATTCAGATGTTCTTGTACAGGAAAAGCCATCCAAAAAATCCTCTTGTAAGAAAGAAATGTGCACTGTCATCGGCTAGAGAGAAACACTGAATGGTTTTTTGTTTTTTTTTTTTTGAGACGGAGTTTTGCTCTTGTTACCCAGGCTGGAGTGCAATGGCGCGATCTCGGCTCACCGCAACCTCTGCCTCCTGGGTTCAGGCAATTCTCCTGCCTCAGCCTCCTGAGTAGCTGGGATTACAGGCATGTGCCACCATGCCCAGCTAATTTTTTTGTATTTTTAGTAGAGACGGGGTTTCACCATGTTGACCAGGATGGTCTCGATCTCTTGACCTCGTGATCCACCCGCCTCGGCCTCCCAAAGTGCTGGGATTACAGGCTTGAGCCACCGCGCCCGGCTTGAATGGTTTTCATGTAGAGAAATGGGAAGAATAGAAGGGTGTGAGTCTGGAAAGGAACATGATGAGAATTGTCATTGATAACAACACAGGACTGGCTGCACAATCCTTACTTTTGTTTAAGATAAATTATAGGCAGTTTGGAGGGCAAGGCAGGTGGATCACCTATGGTTAGGATTTCAAGACTGGCCTGGCCAACATAGCAAAACCCTGTCCCTACTAAAAGTACCAAAATATTAGCTAGGCGTGGTGGTGGGCACCTATAAACCCAGCTACTTGGGAGGCTGAGGCAGGAGAAGGAGAATTGCTTGAACCTGGGAGGTAGAGGTTGCAGTGAGCCAGGATCACACCATTGCACTCCAGCCTGGGCAACGGAGAGAGACTCTGTCTCAAAAAAAAAAAAGAAAGAAAGAAAGAAAGAAAAAGAAAAGAAAACACAAGATAAATTACAGGCAGGAATCAATTGGGTGGGTAAACATGTCAATGCTCCTTATAACATTATTTCTGTTTTAATAGTTAAATCAATGTATACATTTCAATTAATATGCCTTAGATCTATGTTATTACAGTTTACATTAAAAGTCGTTTTCATTCATTGCAGCACTGTTTACAATAGCAAAGACCTGGAACCAACCCAAATGCCCAACGATGATAGACTGGATAGGGAAAATGTGGTACATATACACCATGGAATATTACGCAGCCATCAAAAACGATGAGTTCACGTCCTTTGTAGGGACATAGATGAACCTGGAAACCATAATTCTCAGCAAACTGACACAAGAACAGAAAATCAAACACCGTATATTCTCACTCATAGGTGGGTGTTGAACAATGAGAACACATGGACACAGGGAGGGGAGCACTACATGCTGGGGTCCGTTGGGGGGAAATGGGGGAGGGGCAGGGGGGTGGGGAGGTGGGAAGAGATAGCATGGGGAGAAATGACAGATACAGGTGAGGGGACGGAAGGCAGCAAACCACACTGCCAAGTGTGTACCTGTGCAACAATCTTGCATGTTCATCACATGTACCCCAAAACCTAAAATGCAATAAAAAAATAAAAATAAAAATAAAGTCGTTTTCAAAGAAAATACATTATTAATTACATGGCCAGCATACCAGTATGTAAGTTATTTTCAGAGTATTTTTGTCAGCTAGTTTTATCTAAACAAAAAATTGGGAAATAAACAATACAAATAACCCCATTTAAATAGGAGAAAAGGACATGAACAGATACTTCTCAAAAGAAGACACACAAGCAGCTAAGAAACATATGCAAAAATGCTCAACATCCATATTCACCAGAGAAATGCAAATCAAAACTATATAAATAGAAACCGTCTCACACCACACTGTCTTCCACAATGATTGAACTAATTTACACTCCCACCAACAGTGTAAAAGCATTCCTATTTCTCCACATCCTCTCCAGCATCTACTGTCTCCAGATTTTTTTTTTTTAACTGGTGAAGTTTTTATTAAATCCACAGAAGTAAAAACCATATCGTGAGGAACCGGGGGATGGGGCCACCAAGGAGTGGGAGTCAGGCCACCAGGAGAGTGGGGATAGGGTGACAGGGCAGAGGGGAGAGCCAAGCTGGGCTGGCAATGGGGGCTGTAGCCTCAGGGGCCATCACCAGGGCCACCAGACAGCTCCTGGGAGCTCAGGCCAGCACCAGGCAGGTGTCTCCAGATTTTTAAATGATCGCCATTCTAACTGTTGTGAGATGATATCTCAATGTAGTTTTAATTTGCATTTCTCTGATGACCAGTGATGATGAGCATTTTTTCATATGTTTGTTGGCCTCCTGTATGTCTTCTTTTGAAAAGTGTCTGTTCATATCCTTTGCCTACTTTTGAGTGGGTTTGCTTGTTTGTTTCTTATAAATCTGTTTTAGTTATTTGTAGATTCTGGATATTAGCCCTTTGTCAGATGGGTAGCTTGCAAAAATTTTTTCCCATTCTGTTGGTTGCCAATTCACTCTAATGATTGTTTCTTCTGCTGTGCAGAGGCTCTGGAGTTTAATTAGGTCCCATTCGTCTATTTTTGCTTTTGTTGCCAATGCTTTTGGTGTTTTAGTCATGAAGTCCTTGCCTATGCTTGTGTCCTGAATGGTTGTGCCTAGGTTTTCTTCTAGGGTTTTTATGGTGTTAGGTCTTATGTTTAAGTCTTTAATCCATCTGGAGTTAATTTTAGTGTAAGGTGTCAGGAAGGGGTCCAGTTTCTGCTTTCTGCACATGGCTAGCCAGTTTTCCCAACACCATTTATTAAACAGGGAATCCTTTCCCCATTGCTTATTTTTGTCAGGTTTGTCAAAGATCAGATGGTTGTAGATGTGTGGCATTGCCTCTGAGACCTCTGTTTTGTTCCATTGGTCTATATCTCTCTTTTGGTACCAGTACCATGCTGTTTTGATTACTGTAGCCTTGTAGTATAGTTTGAAGTGAGGTAGTGTGATGCCTCCAGCTTTGTTCTTTTTGCTTAGAACTGACTTGGCTATGCGGGCCCTCTTTTGGTTCCATATGAAGTTTATGGTGGTTTTTTCCAGTTCTGTGAAGAAGGTCATTGGTAGCTTGATGGGGATAGCGTTGAATCTGTAAATTACTTTGGGCAGTATGGCCATTTTCATGATACTGATTCTTCCTAACCATGAGCATGGAATGTTTCTCCATCTGTTTGTGTTCTTTCTTATTTCGTTGAGCAATGGCTTGTAGTTCTCCTTGAAGAGGTCTTTTACATTCCTTGTTAGTTGTATTCCTAGGTATTTTATTCTCTTTTTAGCAATTGTGAATGGCAGTTTGTTCTTGATTTGGCTCTAAGTCTGTTATTAGTGTATAGAAATGCTTGTGATTTTTGCCTATTGATTTTGTATCCTTAGGCTTTGCTGAAGTTGTTTATCAGTTTCAGGAGATTTTGGGCTGAGACGATGGGATCTTCTAAATATACAATCATGTTGTCTGCAAATAGAGACATTTTGACTTCCTCTTTTCCTAATTGAATACCCTTTATTTCTTTTTCTTGCCTGATTGCTCTGGCTAGAACTTCCAATATTATATTGAATAGGAGTGGTGAGAGAGGGCATCCTTGACTAGTGCCAGATTTCAAAGGGAATGCTTCTGGGTTTTGCCCATTCAGTATGATATTGGCTGTGGATTTGTCATAAACAGCTTTTATTATTGTGAGATACATTCCGTCAAGACCTGGTTTATTGAGAGTTTTTAACATAAAGGGCTGTTGAATTTTGTCGAAGGCCTTCTCTTCATCTATTGAGATACTCATGTGGTTTTTGTCATTGGTTCTGTTTATGTGGTTTAAGACTTCTTTTTAACATATATGTTGAGATTCCAATCTTGGTGGTTGCTATTTCTCTGATGATTCATTTATAGATTACAATGGTTATTACTATGCAGTCAAATCACAATGTGTGGATATTTTCTATAGAAATTGCACAAAATATATCTATTTAAAATAAAATATAGTGAATTAATGTTTATTCTTCAAAAAATTATGTAGTTTAGAGATTATTTAAATTATTTGAGTTAGCATTTGTACTTGCTTTGTTCTATGCTGAAAGCTTTGCTACCAATTACATTGTAGGTTTATTTGTTTCAGTTCATCGATACCCAGTGGTGTTTACCAAGATATGATTAAGACAAGGTTTTATGATATCATATTTTCCCTTATATATCACTGGGCTATTTAATTGAAAGTTTTATTGAAATAATGATAGATTCACAAGCTGTTGTAGGAAATAAGACAGAAAGCCTGGCTCATATCGCCCAGTTTTTCCTCATGGTTACATTTGCAAACTGTAGTATAATATGACAGTAATGTTATTAACTTTTATAGATCTTGTATCTTTTAAATATTTCCCTTGTTTTATTTGTATTCATTTGTGTGTGTGTGTATGTGTGTGTGTGTGTGTGTGTGTATAACCTCTGAGTTTTATGGATTTTATAATTTCATTTTAATTGAACATTATTCAGGAATTTAATATAAAGTATTTACATTTGTAAAAACCCAAAGCCATACCACAGAATATTCCATAGAATCCTAACTTTCATTTCCGTTTCCCCACCTGTCTGTCCCTATATACATATGCCTATACTGGCTTCAAATAATTCAGCCTCCTTTGTACAACGTTCTGACCCATGTCTTTTTCACTTAAGCATATACCCTGAAGTAATACCATATATGCAGTTCAAACTTAATGCAAGCTATATGTTTATACTACTTCCATAAGTTTGATGTTTTTAGATTTCACATATAAGTGACATGATGAGGTCTTTGTCTTTCTGTCCTTGATTCGATCCTGGCTTCAGAGATGTGTTGGCCTAGGAAAAATTCACTGAACTGTACAGGTATGATGAATGTCACTTTTCTGAATGTCATGTGTGAAATAAAATGTTTATAAAAATTATGTTGATAATGGGAGAAGTTATGCTTATGTGGGTATCTGTAATATGTCAGTATCTTCCTCTATATTGTACTATAAACCTAAAACTGTGATAAAAATAAATTTTTAGAAAATATCATTGCAACAAACCTCCAATAGCCACCCTTATCCCCACCAAAATTGGTGACCACTTTCATCCACACATTACCCTTTCTCTCTAGTCTCACTGAATGTTCTACCGCTTCCTCCACATCAGCAAATATGCTCATTTCTTGTTGTCCTCAGCAAATGGAATATGACTAAAACTTGCCCCTATATACCTACCTCCCAAATGACAAGGGTGGCTGCAAGAGCACGTCATCCCCATTTTCTTTATTCATTCCTAACTATAGAAGCAGGGTCTCTGGTGTCATCAAAAGGTAGTGTACAGGGCCGGGCGCGGTGGCTCAAGCCTGTAATCCCAGCACTTTGGGAGGCCGAGGCGGGTGGATCACGAGGTCGAGAGATCGAGACCATCCTGGTCAACATGGTGAAACCCCGTCTCTACTAAAAATACAAAAAATTAGCTGGGCATGGTGGCACATGCCTGTAATCCCAGCTACTCAGGAGGCTGAGGCAGGAGAATTGCCTGAACCCAGGAGGCGGAGGTTGCAGTGAGCCGAGATCGCGCCATTGCACTCCAGCCTGGGCAACAAGAGCGAAACTCCGTCTCAAAAAAAAAAAAGGTAGTGTACCAAATTAGCTCTAAATTCTGTCTCCACTTGAAATCTAAATTTATTTTTTCTTGCTGCTCTCATTTACTCTCTCCTTTGTCATATTTTCCTAATTACTCCTGTCAGCAATACAAATGTGGTCTTTTTTTTTTAAGTTATTTTATTTTATTTTATTTTGAGATGGAGTCTCACTCCATCACCCAGGCTGGAGTGCAGTGGTGTGATCTCGGCTCCCTGCAACCTCCCCCTCCCAAGCATTTCTCCTGCCTCAGCCTCCCAAGTAGCTAGGACTACAGGTGCCCACTACCACACCTGGCTAATTTTTGTATTTTTAGTAGAGACAAGGTTTCACCAAATTGGCCAGGCTGGTCTCAAACTGCTGACCTCAGGTGATCTGCCCGCCTCGGCCTCCCAAAGTGCTGGGATTACAAGCATGAGCCACCACACCCGGCCACAAAAGTAGTTTTATATATAAGACTTACACTATTTTGAAAGAAAAACTCTTCCTTACAACACTTCTATCCAGCTAGACCCTGTGTCTAGTCCTTCTGCAACTTCTCTATCTGCCATAAACGTGCATGGCGTTGAGACTCTAGACTCAATCTGAATTCCAGTGGCTGCTTTTGTGTCCTCACATTATATCTAATCTCTCAGCTTTTCTATAAACTTAGCCAGTATTATGTTCTCAAAAAACTCTACCTTTTCAGCCTTGATGTGCCCTTAGCTCCAGAATCATGTTTCCAACATTTCACCTAAACTCCCATTTTTCTTCTTTCGTTGGCATCTTTTGCACCGAAACTGAACTGCTTATCTAAACATTTCCATTTGGAAATATTTTCTAAATTGTTTCCCCTAAACCTGACCACACCACAGACTTTTCATCTCTATGAATAACAGCATTATATTCCCATTCTTTTGAAAAAAAAATCAGTCATCCTCTACCTTGATTTATTCTTTTTTCTGACCATTTATCCTGTTTTAACCAGTCCTATTAAAAATCAAGTAAATATAACAACTGAAGCCATAACACATCTAGAAGAAAACATAGGGTAAAATGTTTGTGGCCCTAGTTAGTCAAGTTTTTGTTAAATGCAATACCAAAAACAAGATTTCAAGAGCAAAGCTGACAAATCAGATTGTCTCAAAAAATAAAATCTTATGCTTTTCAAAAGAGACTGTTAAAAGAATGAAAGAATGAAGCAGAGACAGGGAGAAATTACTTGCAAATAATATATCTGGTAGAAACTTATACCCATAACATACTTAAAAACTTCAAATTCAATACTAAAAAACTAATAACTGAATTGAAAATGCAGAAACAATTAGAACAAATAGTTTTATTAAGAAGATATACTAATGGCAAATAACATATGTAGTGTTACCCAACATTAAGATTTCTGTGCCTGCCACAAAATGACAATTTTTCTTTACTCACTATAAGTTTGGAAACTCTTGAAGTCAGACATTTTATGCATATTTTTAAATATGAAATTTCAGTCAAAGTCTTCATATTATAAGTGATGTTTTCAACTGTATTCTACTATAAAGAGCCAATTTTATTGAACTTATGCAAATAACCATATTGCCATAGAATACTCACAAATGCTTTTCATATTCTGGAAGAATCATGTAAAAATAAATGGTATACATTATCAAATTGCTATAAAATATAGACACCTTAAGAGAGAAAAAATGTTTTGAAACATCTCTTCTGGGGAAAAAAAGAGAGAGAAAATGAATAAAAATCAACAGCATTTCAAATAAAAGTCATAGGAATATTATCTTCATCTGTTATTCAATCTCATGTTTTTTTCTTCTTCCTTATCGCAGTTCATTATTTCTGAACCCATCAGGTTTTTTGATTAGAGTTCTGGAATTTTGCATTTATTCCATTGATCTTAAAGTTATCAGAAACCTGTAGTTGAGTGTACTTATGGGAGTATTTTCCATGAATCTGTTTGTAAATGTATTTAGAAATGAAGTCAGGACAATAACTGGATGATAAAAACTCAAAACAG